AGGAAAATCAGCTAGAAAATAAGTAAGGACAAAGCATTTATTTTACAGTCTAAAGTTCACAGGAGAAATATGAGCGTAATAACAGGAAATCAAGATTTTTAAGAAGATCGTACAAGTACATAGGCTAGCTTAAGTAACCAATCACATTTCTGAATGAAGTACATTTGGATCATAATTTGATTTAGAGAAAAAAAAATAGGAGCATAGTTTAGTGTATTTGCTTCTCCCTAAACATGGTAAATGGTGGTTTAAAAGATGTTGTATAAGGCTAACCTAAAGACAGTGGGAAGGGCAGTTTCTTAATATTTGTAAGAGAAAAAAAAGGAAACACTACCTTATTCAGATTTTGCTTGCAATCGATCATCGCTCATACTGTGAGACAATAATAGTGCATGGAAATCTTTGAAGTGAGTGCATATTCTTGGAAATTAATACAGTCACACATATTTGCAATGGGAGATAAAAATAAGACAAGTGTGCATTTAAAAATAAGCACAGGCAGCGTGTGCAAATGCTTGAAATAGAATGTATATAATTATGTTTATCATGGACACTTCCTTTTGAACGTATACTGAGTACCGAGAATACGATATGGTTTATTATTTACTGAACCCCCTCATTTTGATTCTTTTCATTTATAGCCATTGGAGTGATTTCCCAGTTATTTTAATTATCATCACGAAAGAGCTAGGGCAAAAGCAGAGAGAAATCTCCGTTAAAGTCATTTCTTCAAAGGAATATGGAAGACAAATATTAACATAAGTGGCTCAGTGGAGAATTAGCATTTTAAAAATTGAAAGAGTAAACACAACCTAAGTTGTGATTCAAAGCAAACAACAACAGCAAAAGGTTGCACGAAATATGAGTTCTTAGTTTTGTGTCTGCAGCACTTAGGACTGTCAGGTGTTCGAGAAGTAGGCTGGAGTTAAGAGTTTTTTGAATTGTTGAACACAGTAAGAGTATTTCACAGATGTACCTTGTTTGGTAAATATATATATAATATATATATATTATACATATATTTACTTAAAAAATGCCATTTACATTATAAGGCCTAGCATATCCTTTCTACTCATGTATTTTCCTGGTATACAAAGTCTGAGTTGTACACATTTGAATTAAGTGATGGATAATTCTTGACTGAAAAATTGTATGGCAATTTCTAAAAAGAATGTTTCCGAAATAGGTGCTTGGGAAACTTGCAGGTGGTGAGGGGGGTGGCAGGATGATCTAATAGCCTCCGTTTCATAGTCACTACGAGCTTTTACATTGGGTTGAAGAAGCAAGACAAGTGTATTTTGTAATTCACATAAAAATCGTCCCCTAATACCTTATTGGCAAATCGCGAGGAAGAGGACACTATTAATTCTGCCTTCATTTTAATGCCATGTGGGTGGAATGGAGGTGATTCCCTGGGACAGAATGATATTTTGAAGCATATACATGATTCCGGGGCGCTTCCATTTCATTTGGAGTGGAGAAAAACTTCACGAGGGTTTTCTCTAGTTGTCTGTGGAAGGTTTCAAATAGAGATGTCACAGCGTAGCTAGATTGAGGTGATATGCAATATCTATTTCTTGATTTGCATGATTAAAGCATTAGAGAAGTAGCTCAGGTATCAAAAGATTTCTCATAAGCAGTGGCGCCAAAGGTAATTACTGTTAAAATGTACACGCTCGAACCCTGGTCGCTCGTTAACTTCTAAGTTGTGTTTACAACTCTTTGGGTGGGAGTAAAAGTTTTCATGTGATTTTTGGATGCCAAGACCCCTTTCTCACTCCATTTTGATATCAACAGTATATTGAGCATTTCTTATATCCTATGTCTATCACGATGACAATTAGCTTCAACTCAAAAAAGCAATAAAAGGTAAAGAAGGCCCTTCTTACTATTTCATACTTTAATTGTTTCTTAAGCAAATGTAACCTTTTGAAGACAAAGCTAAAATGTATACTTAAAAAAAACAACAACGAACTGATTAATTTAGTCAACCAACCTCCAGTTCCTTATCAAACAGTGCTGTTAAAACCCTACTGTAAGCTGGGTGCATTATGATAGGGGGTGGGGACAGAGAGGGAAAGAGGAGAGGGGTTGTTATTCTCAGCCTTTTATTAACCAGTTTCTTTCATTCTAGTGGGTCTTTATTATTTAGAAAAATAAAAATGATCTGGGGCTCTATCCATTCTCACCTACAATTTTGGAGTAGGTAACGGCTGCCTACAACGGGTCCAACATATGCCCCAAAACTAAAACAAACAAACTCATTTGCCATACAAATTGTTTACGATTCATTAAAAAGCAAAATTGCATATCCCGGTGCTGGCAGCTGAGGCCGAGCCTCCACGGGCGGAGGGGGCATTCACTGAGTTGCCTTTGTATGCTGGGAGGACCAAGCCGAGGTTCCCACTATGCAGCCCGGAGTCTGTGCAGCCAGATGACGCATGAGGTAATTTTAAAGCTTTATTTGCCTTTAGTGTGAAACTCGGATCTTGTACTGTCCTTTGGTTAAAGAGCCATATCAGCCAGGGGCAATTCTAAATTTCTTTTTTTTTTTTTTTTTTTTTTTAGTTGGGAAAAATTGTTTGGGGTAGTGAGGTGAGGGTGTGGAGGGAGAGGGAGTGAATTCTATTCAAGGGAAGAGAAGAGCTAAGAAAAAATGCGAAATTTGTCTTATTTTAATTAATCCTTCCCTCCACCCCCCCTTCATCAAAGTCCTCAATTTCCCATCAATAGTGGGGAATTTACATTAGAATTATTTGTAACTGGCAGATTTAAAATGCTGTGGTATGCGCTTACCTTTGAGGGAAATGAAAAATCGATTTATTCTCTATGGTAACTTCTACAACTTCTACACTCTGATTTCTCACCCCTTTTCAAAGCAAAGATCTAGAAGCATTGAAGTTGAGAGAAACTTCCTGTAGTATGCAGCCTAAACAGCAGCATGGAGCTTACAGCATTGTTTATTTTTAGTCAACTGCATTGCTAAATGTTTCCACCACTTTTATATTTTATATTCCCGGCGGTAAAACATCTGTAAAACAATTTTAAATGAAAAGCAACTTCCAAGTAAACTTTGCAAAAAATAAATGACAGTTTTCCAAGTTAAAAAAAAAAAAAAGAGGAGCATTTGGTGATCTTTGCAAGAAAGAAAAGATAACACAATTTGCCATAAAAAGTAACAGTCTATAAAATCTATGAGCTCTTGAAATACAAGGAAGTAGGAATAGTATATGACATCACGCCAGTCAGGTTTTTTTTTTTTTTTTTTTTTTTTTTTTTTTAAGGCTTACAACTTAGCGTAGAAAATAATAGCTAAACCAATCAGTATATTCATTTCTGGTGTTTAACAAGCTGCACAAGGCGAAGCAATAGACAAAATCATGACATACAAGTAAACCTTGTTCTTGCTGGCAGAAACACTAAAGGGAAAATAAGTGCCCTGAATAGTTCAGCATCTAAGTGGATAGATCTACTGTTAGTCTAATTAAGCAAAAAGTGCAAGTTACATTGTCCTGAAATCACTGGTAAAGTTTCTATTGTCTAGTTAAGAAATCACAAGTTAAAATACACATGTACACACATACCCACAACCACCTTTACTCAAGGGTCCTTAGGATGGACACACTGCACCCCATGAGCAGCCGAACAGAGTCCTGTGGTAGCTCACTTTTAATAGTCTCTCAGTCCTTGGAATTCCTAAAACTTGCCCAAATAATAATACCATTGGTCCAGGAAGGGGAGAGGAGAACTCTTTCCGCAGATCATGCAATGAAACCGACCATGTCCTGTCTTGTAATTCCATTCGCCAGTCTCCCCCTCCAACACCACTCTCCCTCTCTCTCCCTCTTTCTCTCTCTCTCTCTCTCTTTTTTTTTTCTTAAACTGATATCTATGTGAAATGAGCTGAAGTTCACGGTCCAGTTAGGAACGGATAATACATTCATTGTCCTGGCAGCAAACTTTTTTTTCACTCCCTGGAAGAATTCACGCTTGCCGCAAGAATAATAATTACGGAAAACTAAAAATGCTCTGCTAACGAAGTAATCCTTAACGGACACCACCCTAACGAGGGCAGTGATGATTTGAGGACTGTCTTCCTCACAGGACTCGCATCTCCCGTGACAATAAGCTATTGTGCACCCTCCCAACTCACTCTACCTCTTATAGATCCGAGATGTCAAAGGTTGTCTGGCCTGGTTGACCATGACATGTGAGTTAACTCATTCTGCGGCGCAGGGTAGAACTTTATTAAAACTTTATTTGCACCCAGAATCACCAAAAGGTAGCGTGTGGGGGTCTTTCCCACTCAGAGCTAGAGTCCTAAGAGACTTAAGACCTGCTCTGAGATAAACAAATGGGGAAAAGTTAGATGAGAGCTATAGGTCCCCAGATGGAAAACAGGCAGTGGGGACCCAGAGTTCTCTCACAGGTGACTCCAGGGGATCCAGTTAATGGGGCAGGACAGGAATTCGCCCAGGGCTTGCTTCTCCCCAGTGTCTAAACACACGTCCTCAGAAAATACCACAGCCGAGGAAAAACCAAGCACCCCATATCCCCTGAAAACAAAAGTAAAGGGGATGTGAAGCTAGAGAGAGGGAGCAAAACCTGAGGGCCAGGACAAGCGTTTCATTTTTTTTGTTTTTTTTTTTTTTTACCCCAAGACCGACTTGGCTAAAATACCCACCTCCACCTTAAAGCTCCTGCTACTTTAAAAATAAAAAAAAAGAAAAGAAAAGAAAAAAAGCCCCACCAACTCTCCAACACTGTCCCATGGCAAACCAGGGCAAGCATTGCTGGGAACTCGAGTCGCAGAGTGGCAGGGAGAGGATGGCAAGAGGAAGCAGTGTGAGGCTGCCTCACTGAAGAGTGTGAAAAAAATCAAATGTGAATTTGATGAATGTGAGGTCTGGGACATTTTGTCAAAGAGGGAGGGAAAGTAGAAAAGGGAAAAAAAAAAAAAAAAAAAAAAAAAAAAAAAAGCAGCCCGGCTGCCAACTCACCATCCACCAAGTTCTGGCCGAGATGTCGTAGCAGAGTTGCCATTTGATGGAGCCGTCGGAAGCTTTCCCTGCCATTACGCTGTCAGCAAGCTTCATCTGATGCTAACTCACGGGAGATAAGACACCTAATTGAGAAAACATTTGCAGTGGCATGTGGGGCAACATGTAGTCCGGTCCATACCATATGGAATCATGGGTAAAAAAAAAAATCTCCTTGACAATGAACCAATCTCTCACAGACCCAGTGGCAAGGTGAAGTGGAGACGAAAAGTCTTCTGCTCCTAGCACTGTCTTCTCTCTCCTTTTTTAAAAACAAGGACCCACGGCTACACATCAAAGAGAGGCGGTTAAAATTAGGGCTTCATCACTCAGATGATTTTGGTCTGCAAGGTTTTTCCTTTCCTTCCAACAACCAATCCCCCCTCTTTTTTTTTTCTTTTTTTCTTTCTTTCTTTCTTTCTTTTTTTTT